TCCAGGATAGATAAACCCCTTGGAAACAGAAATGGGAGTAACAATTCCATGAGGGAGGTTAGGGGAAGGGTGGGGAAGTGGGGACTGATAGCTGTGATGGATGTATGACACCCCCCCTCCCCTTGAGGGGAACGAATAACAGAAATGTGGGTGAAGGGATACATCTGATGGTGTATTTATGAAAAAATAATGATAATTTATTAAGGGTTCACGAAGGTGGTAAGGTGGAGGAGGGAGGGAATAAAGCAGAGCTGATATCAAAGGGCTCAATTAGAAGGAAAATGTTTTGAAAATGATGATGACAACATCTGTATGAGTTCGCTTGATATAATGGATTTGGAGGTTAATATCTGTAAAAGCTCCCAAAAATGATTTTAAAAAGAAAAAGATGACTTTGCAGAAAATTACATGAATGGAAAGCCGTTTTGTTTGAAACAAGTAATATTAAAGCATTTTAAGTTGTGAAAGTAATCCTCTTTATGGTTGATAATTTGGGTCACAAAAATCTTTATCTTGATTTCTTTTATAACTATTTCATGTTATATTTCTCCTTTTGTGACCATAAAAATAATAAAATCCAAGCTTACTGTCATCAAGTCAGTTGCCACTCATTGCAACCCTGTAGGACAGAGTAGAACTGCTCTTGTGGTTTTCTGAGACTACGGAAATAGGAGGCCTCAACGTGGTTTGGAAACGCTTTCATTTCACTTTAGAAAAATTGTAGAAATTGAAATTGTAGGTCATATGATGAGAGAGAGAGAGAGAGCGAGAGTGTGTGTGTGTGTGTGTGTGTGTGTATGTGAATAAAAAAAATAGGCCACCTTTTTTGTATTGGCTGTATTATTTTCTATTTCCACTAGCAATTTATGAAACATTTCCTTTCACCCCATACTAAACAGTACTTGGTATTGTTAGGTTGGTTCCCTCCACACATTTCCTCCTCCCCCATCCCCCAATTCTAATAGGTATGTTATGATAATGTCAGGCCTTTAGTTTGTGCTTACCTAACCATCTTTTATGTGCTTTTTCATGTCCATCTTTAGATTTCTATGGATTATTTGGGAAGTAGTTGTGTTTCCAGCTTTTTTGTTTTGTTTTTGGGGAGGGCATAGATAAAGCTTTTTTTTTTTTTTTAAGTTGGGGAATTTTCTTAGTTAAATTTTAAGAGAATAAAAATATATTCTTGATACAAATCCCTTGTCAGATCTGTAATGGCATTGTTTTCATTCTCTTAACAGTACCTTTTTACTTTTGATGACTTCCAGTCTACCTTTTTTCTGACTAATGTTTTTGGCATTATAGCTAAGAATTGCTTGCTTAACTCGAGACCATAAAGATTTTAAGTTACGTAGTGTTTTATTTTTACATTCATGTCTAATTCAATTTGAGCTAACTTTTTATATAAGATGCTTTTATGTATTGGTTAATGATGCATTTTGCTTTATATGCATGTCTGATTGTTCCAGAGCCATTTGTTGAGCATTGTTTTGCCTCAATGAATTGGGGTTTTTCTTGTTTTTGTATTTTGATTTAAAAAAAATCATTTTATTGGGAGCTTGTACAATTCTTATCACAATTCATATATACATCCATTGTGTCAAGCACATTGGTACATTTGTTGCCCTCATCCTCAAAACATTTGCTTTCTACTTGAGCCCTTGGTATCAGCTCCTCATTTTTTCCTCTCCATCCCTGCCCCCGCCCTCATGAACCCTTGATAATTTATAAATTATTATTTTGTCATGTCTTACACTGTCTGACATCTCCCTTCACCCACTTTTCTGTTGTCCGTCCCCCAGGGAAGGGGTTATATGTAGATCCTTTTAATTGGTTCCCTCTTTCTACCCCACCTTCCTTCCACCCTCCTGGTATCGCTACTCTCACCACTGGTCCTGAAGGGTTCATCTGTCCTGGGTTCCCTGTTTCCAGTTCCTATCTTTACCAGTGTACATCCTCAGGTCTAGCTGGATTTGTAAGATAGCATTGGGATCATGATAGTGGGTGGGGGGGAGCATTTAAGAACTAGAGGACAGTTGTATGTTTCATCATTGCTATCCTGCACCCTGACTGGCTTGTCTCCTCCTTGGCACCCTCCTAGAAGAGGATATCCAGTTGTATACAGATGGGCTTTGGGCGCCCATTCTGCACCGCCCTTTATTCTCAATTATATGATTTTTTCTTTGATGCCCGATACCCGATACATGAATTGTTTTGATGACAATAAAAAGTATAAGTCATATTGGGTGGGTCTATTTCTGTTCATTTCATCCATCTTTGTGAATTATTCTCTCACCAATACTGTTAACTTAAAATATGTATGTTTTCAGATGATGACCTTTCAAAATTTATTTTGCTAATCTAATTTTATGTCAATTCTATATAGCTTTTAGGATCACTTTGTTGATAACAGCCCCTTCAAATTCCAAATCGACTGGAATTTTCATTGGAATTAAGTTAAATCTGTAGATAAAGTTTGGGGAAAAGGTAGCATTTTAACTATGTTGACTCTTCTAATCCATAGAGGAAATAGTTTATCTTGATCTTCTTGTATATCCTTTCTATATATTATTACTTCAGGAACTCTGATGTGTAATGGTTAAGCATTGGACTGCAATCATTACGGTTGGCAGTTTGAACCTACTGTCAACTCCACCCGAGAAAGACTGGGCTTTCTACTCCCGTAAACAGTTATAGTTTCAGAAACCCACAGGGGGTTACTATGAGTCAACATTGACTCCATGGCAGTGTGTTTGTTTTTTCCATATATATTAGTTCACTTGGTTCCATAATATTTTGTTGAGAATTTTTACACCTTTGTACAATAATTTCCTTACAATGCTGCTTTTTTATTTTTGGAATCAATGTGATTCTAACCTTAAAATGGAAGGTAGGAAGTGTCTATTATACTCTTTTTCTTTCTTGGAAGATACTTGTTGAATAGGTGTTTTTTCTTCCTTAAATTATAAGTAGACTTCTCCAGTGAAACTACCCTATGATCTTGAGTGTTCTTTTTAAGGTTATAGCTAATTTTTTTATTTGATTGAGATATGTGAGGATTTTCACATCTTCTTGAGTGTGTTTTCACAGTTTTTATTCTGCACCGCCCTTTATTCTCAATTATATGATTTTTTCTTTGATGCCCGATACCTGATTCATGAATTGTTTTGATGACAATAAAAAGTATAAGTCATATTTGATCCATTTCATCTAATTTGTTGAATCAATGGACAGATTTCTCACTGTTATCAAGTTGATTCTGACTGTTGGGGCTACAGGAAGAGATCTCCTAGCATTGTTTTAATGCCTATAGGATCTGTAGTGATATTCCTTCCTTCATTTCTGCTATTAGTAATTCGTATTTCTCTGTTTTTGTTTTGACGTTTGTCACAGTTTTATCTGTCTCATTGCTCATCAGGACCCGCTTCAATAATTTTCTCTTCAGTTTCATTAATTTCTCTGTTTATTTTCTTCCTTGTGCTTACTTTGGGTGCAGTTTATTCTTTTTCTAACACTTTAGGACTTAATTTTCTCACAGAATTTTTGATGCTATAAATTTCCCTTTATATATTTGCTCCTGTAAACATTTATGGCTTTGAAAACCTAAATAAAATCAACTTGGTGGTGGTGGAAGATTTGGATTTGCTTGGTTTCATACACTATTACTGTTCCACAGATTTTGATATTATTGTAGTTTTATTTTTGTTCCCTTCAACATTCTACCTAAATTTTCACGAAACATCTTCATTCATTTATGTTTAGGTTATTTAGTAGAAGGTTGTTTGATTTTCATGTTTTTTAACTCATGGCTACTGTTGAGCTGTCAATGTAATTTTCCTGCTTTTTTTTTTTTCTTCTTTATTTTGAATTTTTTTTGGCGGGGGGGTTTTGTTGTTAGGGATATACATTTAAGTCTTAGTGAATTTGAAATATTTATCTCTGGTGGGAACCCTGGAGATTTATTCATAGGGCTGCTAACTACAAGGTCAGCAATTCTCCCCTAGGAGGGGAGAAAATGGGGGCTTTCTACTCCCTTAGGGGCACCATGAGTTGGAATCAACTGGATGGCAATGAGTTTGTTTGTTTGTTTGTTTGTTTGTTTTTTCAGTGTATATTTCTAGAGTATTTAGTAGGAGAGCAAAATTACAGTGCCTTTATTCCATTTGGCTTGTAACCACAAGTCAGATGGTACTGTCTGGATTTATTTTTAAGCAAATCAGTAGTCATGTAATTGTTAATACATAGAGATATGTCTTGAAATGTTATTTGATGATGAAATTATACATGAAACAAATCAGCAGGCCCACATTTCAGTTTCCATATTTGCACTGTAACTAGCCTAGAGTGTTTTTGAATGGGTTGAGCTTAGTTTATCTACCTATCTATCTATTTATTTATTTTATGTCCAATTGAGTTTTGAGTTAAAATTTATAACTGCGTGAATAAGCCATTTTAGTAATATCAGACATCATCCTAGAGGGCCCATACATAATACAAATGACTTGTACAACCCAAACAGTAAGCGAACTAGTGTCATGGGAAATGGGGATATTTGTGAGAGAATTGAATGTTAGCATTAAATTTTTGGCTTTATTTCACAGTCCAGTTGTACATTTCTTCTAGAAATGAAATAGCAACTAAAGATTACACACTGTAAAGTATTACATGGTAGAGATATTTTTGGTTAAATATTTCTGAAGTACCTTCTGTTTTAAAAATTGTTTGAACTGTTCAATCCATAAAGTGATAGAAATTGTATGGATTAGATCGGATATTGTACTTATTAATGCGTTAAGTTTTATTACAAACATAATTTTAGCTAGTGATTTAATACACCAATATACTTGAGCATATGTCTTTTTGGTTATTATATTTTCTTATAGGAATATAGAAATACCTTAAAGGAGATATTTTAATTGAGTATTTAACTTTTTAAAATTCAGCCTTTAAGTGCATTAAATGTCTATGAAGTTCTATTAAATTTACTTTTCTTCCTCCTTTAGAATCCAGCAACTATCACAAGAATACTCCTTAGCCACTTCAATTGGGATAAAGAGAAGTTGATGGAAAGGTAAGGAACTATGTTATCTGTTTCATATTTAGAGGTACATGTAATACAGAAAGTCTGTTGAATTGAATTTATAAGAAGCATACAAAATAAAGTAAGTATATAGCTACCTGTATGTGAACAAAGGATCCTTGGTGGCATTATTGGGTAAGCATTGAACTGTAGCTGCAAGGTCAGTGGTTCAAACTCCCCAGCCAGTCTGTGGGAGAAAGATGAGACTTTCTGGTTCCCATAAAGACTTACAGCCTTAGAAGCCCAGTATAGGTCGTTGGCAGTGGGTGGGCTTTTTATGTGAACAAACCAATGTGCAGTGATATTTGGCTTTATTGCCTATATTTCTCACCGTAAATTTTGTAGCAAATTCAGGCTTAATGTTTTTCTTTTTCTTTTTTTTTTTTTACTTTTTTTTTTTTTTTTTTTTTTTTTTTTATTTTGCTTTTCCTTTGCTTTTTTTTTTTTTTTTTTTTTCTTTTTTAACTTTTTATTAGGGGCTCATACAACTGTTATCCCCAGGCTTAATGTTTTTCTTTTGGGAACTAAAATTAGATTTTTAGAAATGAGCATGATACACTTGGAGCATATGAATAATACCTTTTTATCACTTCAAAAGATTTCTTGCTCATAGTCCTCTATGTTGAATATATAAATGACATTTACTTGGTAAAAAACAAAGTAATTCAAGGAAGTGTTCCTCAGGGTTACCCTGACCACTGAAAAACTGGACCGGGTCTCTGGTTTCAGGGCAAGCTTTTACTGATTTCGGGAATTTGACATATTTTCTCTGATTAAATCTTTGTACTTCTAAAAGGGAATAAATAACTGGATCTGGAGACAGACAATATTAATGTCAGTCTTAATATTTTTTCTGTTCCTAAGATTGGAAATCTAGGGTACTTGTTAAAATGGTGACAACCTATATGTAATTACTTTATTCTATCAGCCTTGGCAATTCTATCCATTGGCAATTCTACTCTTAGTCTAAAATTACCCCTAGTTATTGGTGGAAATTGACAGTCCAAATGTTGTAAGAAATTAATGGAAAATATTTCCCCTTTGTTTTTAAGATTCAGTTAGCGCTTTTAAAAATAGTGTGTAGTGTCGAGAATATTACCCAGTTTTACATACCTTACTCCCAAATGACAATGTGCGTACAGTGAAACTGAAAACCAGAACCTGAGTACGGTCGGAAACTCAGATATCTAACCCTAGTAACAGATCCACGTACCCTGTCAAGGCAGAAAACTTCTGAGACCAGGAAAACAAGGGAGTTAGTTCATCCTGTCAAGCCTGGCTTTCACAGATTTCTCTGGGATAATAATGGACATTTTTTTAGTCTTACTTTGTGTCAGGGACTGCTTCATCCTACTCTTATTATCCTGATAGTTTTATTGAGATTAAAGACTACTTTCATCTCCACTTGCTGTGAAAACTACAACTTTGAGTTTAAATTATTTATCTAAGCTTGTTGAAACAAGAATTTAGAACTCTGACTCAGGTTTGTTGGACTTCACTGCTCATGTTCTTAATAAATAACAGTACATAAAGTTTCACAAAGTTCATGAAAGTTAAAATGCCCTTAACCAGCTTGGTTGGTTGGTTGGTTTTAATCCTCATGAATCTGGCAATCTTATTTGAAGTCTGTGGTATTTTAAAATTATTCTTAGCAGCACATTCTTTCAGGTTATTTCTTTTACATAGCTCTGCAATGAACCCTGGTAGCTCAGTGATGAACTGCTTAGCTGCTTACTGAAAGCTTGGGGATTGGAAACCCTGTTGGGCAGGTCTGCTCTTCTATAGTGTAACTATGAATTAGAATTTACTCCTTCACACTGAGTTAGAAGGAAGAGACATTTTCATTATCTGACACTTTTTTAGTAAATTATGCTTAGAGTTTATCTCTTATTTCTCCAAAGATATTTGAATTTTGGCCTATAGCATTGAATATTGCTGAAAGTATTTTTCAGTTAAACATTGTACTTAAGTGTAGTAAGTATGAATATAAAATAAGACATTGGGAGACTTCTGTGAATATGTATACTAATCATTTTCTCCATGTAATTTCAGTTTTTATTTGAAATATTCTTGAAAATATGCTATTAGGCACTGCAGATTTTATACTCCGTTAAAGAGTATTTTCAGATGCTTTCTGCAATTCTTGTTAGTCACATAATGAAATTTCTGCATCTCTTCCATATCTAGTTTTTTTTTCTCCATATCTAGTGTTTTATTTACTCTGTGTCCTTCATACTTTTCTTATGTGTTGTCTATGACTTTGTACTTTTTCTATGAAAATTCCCCAGCATGCTTTTTAAATTTACCCATTTGCTTTTCTTTCTATATCTGTTCTGTTGTTTAACCATCTCGAGTTATTTATTTCAATAGTATTCAACTGATTTTAAAAAAATAACCTTTTTTATCATTTTATTGAGGGCTCTTACAATGCTTATTACAATATACACATTGTTTGTAGCAGGCATATTTATACATATGTTGCCTTCATTCTTTTCTAGACTGTTACTTTATCTTTTGTTGCCATTTTGAACATTATTATTATTTTTTAATCATTTTATTAGGGGCTCATACAACTCTTATCTCAATCCATACATGCATTAATTGTGTAAAGCACATTTGTACATTCATTGCCCTCATCATTCTCAAAACATTTGCTTTCTACTTAAGCCCCTGGCATCAGCTCCTCATTTTTCCCCTCCCTCCCCGCTCTCCACTCCTTCATGAACCCTTGATAATTTATAAATTACTATTTTGTCATATATCTTGCACTGTCCGATGTCTTCCTTCACCCACTTTTCTGTTTAGACTGTTACTTCCTATTGAGCCCTTGGTATCAGCTCTTCCTCCCCCCCCCCCTTTTCTTCCCCCCTCATGACCCCTTGATAGATTATAAATTAAAATTTCACATCTACCACTGTCTCCCTTCCCCCATGGTTTCCATTGTTTTTTCCCCTGGAGGGGGGGGTTGTAGTTGTTTGTCGATCATTGTAGTCAGTTCTCCCTTCTTCTCCTCCCCCACGCCACTTCTCTCTTCCCGTTCCTGCTTTTGGGTTGTGTGTGTCGTGAGCTCTTATCTCTATCTACACCTGTATGCATACCTCCAGTCTTGTCCAAAGTGAGAGACATCACGGGGTCATTGTGGGGGTGAGGAAACCTCAAGGAACCAGAGGAATATTGTGGTTCGTCGGTGTTTTACTGCACCGTGGTTGACTCATCCCTTCCCTGTGATCCCTCTGGGGGGGATGTTCCATTATCTACAGACGGACTTTGGGTCTCTGTTCCAACTCCCTTTATTCTAAACCATATGGTATTGTTTGTTTGATTGTTAAGGGTGTTCTGATGCCTGTTACCTGGTCCCGATGACACCTTATGATCGAACAGACTGGTGTGCTTCTTCCATGTGGGCTTGTTGTTTCTCTGTTGCATAGCCAATTATTTCACTTCAAGCCTTTAAGACCCCAGATGCTATATCTTGTCATAGCTGAGCACCATCTGCCTTCTTTACCACATTTGCTTATGCACCCATTTTGTCTTCAGCTATTGTGTTGGGAGGGTGAGCATCTGAGTGCCAATTTAAAGTAATATTTTATTCTTGTTTTATGAATTAATACTCACCCTTACTCTTTTGGTGTATTAACTATCCTTACACAAAAATTCTTTTTTAGATTATACATCAGTAACTAGATTTAGAAGATAATTTAAAACAAGCATTTCATACCCTGCAAAATATGTTATTTTCAAATTGAGTACACTGTTTCTCCTTTACATTGATATTGGAAAATGAAGTTATCAAATAATTGAATACAGATTAAATAAGTACCAGGGGGGATGTAGTACAGGCGGTGAGGTACAGGGAGATTTTGTTTTTTAGTGCCTTTATTAGAAACAGACAGAGGTAGAAACTGAACAAGCCTTTGACTACTACAGTAAGTTAGAAAAATGGCACAGTAAACCCAAAGAGAGAAGACTATGTTTAATGAACTAGGAAGGAAAAAGCAAAACACCACCCACACAACAAAAAGCTGGTTTTAGAAATTGATTTCTTTTTTTTTCTTCGAGAAATTGATTTCTTAATGAGCATAAATAATTAGACAATATGATGGTGCTGGGGGAGATTGGTCAGTGCTAACTCATAACCCTATGGAACAGTAGAACAGCCCCTGTGAGTTTCTAAGACTGCAACTTTTTATTTATTTATTTTTTTAATCGTTTTATTAGGGGCTCATACAACTCTTATCACAATCCATACACACATCAATTGTATAAAGCGCATTTGTAC